TCCTTCAGATCCCTACATTCTTTCTATTTTATCTGTTTAAAATGATAGGCTACGTCGCTAGGGGAAATAAGGCCAACCTGCATGTTTATTGTATTACATCTCGGTTTAGTAGTGATTAACATCTGCCGGTTACAACAATTCTGAGGGCGTGAACTCTCTATAATATTGAATGCTGTACGCGACGTTTTTTTATCACACTTGCACAAGGCAAGATTTATTCCTGCCAGAAATCATGTCATGACATTCGTCCCTTCGAATATCTGAAAGACTCTGTTGCTGGATGACGGGATGATCGGGTGATTTCACGGATTAAGAAAACCCCAAAACCGACTACTATCGAACAGAGCGGAGCGGAAGTATTTAACAAAATCATTCGCTCGAATTGGTTTATATTCTTAATTAATCCATCCTTATCGTTTCCTAACCTGCTTCCACCCACACCCCTAGTTCTTTGCTCCATCGTCTGTGGCACTATTAACATCAGCCTGCGTCATCACCGCGGTCACAGCCATCATCGTGAGCTGTCCGCTCTGGAAAAAAAGGTCGAATTGAAAGAACTATTTTGTTCTCGTTCAAGATTTTGAAATCGGAACATATTGTCGAGTATGACAATGGAAAGTAGACGGACCACTTCTGACTTATTTACAGTTGGCAGGCCATCACACCTCAGGAAAACGGATATTTGCACCTGAATTCAATTAGTGATTTAGCGTAACATTCCACGAGTGGGATTAGTTGTGGCCGTTCAAGGCCGCCTTATCCGTGTTTTTCGATTCTTGCCATGCAACCGACTCCGCTAGCTCGAAATCAGAATTGCATAGCATAACAATACTCTTATACCACATCCATTCAGCAGGCCAAAACGTTTTTCCAACATCCATTGCCTTGACTCTGGAAGCTCTTATCCGGATGTTTTCTCGTTAATCTTGCGGAAAAGTGTAAGTAGCCTCGCTGCTGCAGCATAGTGGGATAAATTACACTGTTGCCGGGGTTTTCGCGGTCCTATCGCTCTTTCTCTCTACCTCGGTTCAAACTACCTCGTCATCATCACTTCGCATGACTCACTGGACGTAAGTCTGCTGTGTAACTGAGCCGAGTCCGTACCCCTCTGCCGTCTCA